GCGAGGGGGAGGGGAAGGAAAGTGATGAACGAGACCGTGGCGCTGATGAGCAGGACGGGGAGGGGGAGGTGGCCGAGTTCGAGGAGGAGGAGGAGGAGGCGGATGCAGAGGTGGACGTGGATGTGGATGCGAAGGTTGGAAAGAGCGTGTTCTACCGCTGCTGGCGGAAAACCGGGGGGGGGTCACTGGGGGTTCCCAACCCGTCCTCCCCCCACAAGAAAACCAGGGGGGGGTCCCCCCCCCCTCCCCCCCCCTTCGAAAACAGGGGGGGGGGTCACTACCAGTTCGATCCCCCCTCCTTCGCCGCCGGCAAACGATTTCCGCTCCTCGGGACAGTTGGACAGTGGTGGGGATATTGGGACAGTGGTGGGAACAGTGGTGGTGGGAACAGTGCTGCGGGGACAGTGGGACAGTGGTGCGGACGGTGATGCGGACAGTGGTGGGGACGGTGGTGGTGGGGACAGTGGTGTGGGGACAGCGGGACAGTGGTGGGGACAGTGGGACAGTGGTAGGTACGGTGGTGGTGGAGACAGTGGTGAAGGCGGTGGTGAGGACGGTGGTGAGGACGGTGGTGGGACAGTAGTACAGTGGGGAGAGTGGTGGGGACAGTGGGGACAGTGGGACAGTGGTGGGGACAGTGGGGACAGTGGGACAGCGCAGTGGGACAGCGGCGGGGACAGTGGGAACAGTGGTGGGTACAGTGGGGATAGTGGAACAGAGGTGGGGACCGTGGGGAAAGTGGGGAGAGCGGGACCGTGGTAGGACATTGGTGCGGAGAGGGGGGACGGTGAAACACTGGTGGGGGCACTGGTGGGGACAGCCGGGACAATGGTGGGGACTGGGACAGTGGTGGGAACGGTGGTGGTGGGTACAGTTGTGTGGGGACAGTGGGAATGTGGTGGGGACAGTGGGACAGTGGTGGGGACGGTAGTGGTGGGGACAGTGGTGAGGGCGGTGGCGAGGACGGTGGTGGGACAATGGGACAGAGGTGCAGTGGGGACTGTGGTGGAGGGGGACAGTGGGGACAGTGGTGGGAACAGTGGGACAGCTCAGTGGGACAGCGGCTGGGACAGTGGGACAGTGGGGACATTGGGACAGTGGTTGGGACCGTGGGGACAGTGGGGACTGGGACCGTGGTGGGAACAGTGGTGGGTGCAGTGGGGACAGTGCGCCAATGGTGGGGGCACTGGTGGGGACAGTGGGGACGGTGGTGGGAACAGTGGGGACAGCGGTAGTGCAGTGGCGCGGGGGACAGCAGTGGGGGATGTGGTGCGGACGGTGGTAGGGACCCGGGAGTCGTTTGCCGACGGTGAGGGAGGGGTTCGAACCGGTAGTCCCCACCAGTTTTCCGGAGGGGGGGGGTCCGGAGCGGGGGGGGTTTTGCCCAGGGGAAAGGGGGGGGGGTCCAGCAGGGGAGGGGGGGGATTTTCGGAGGGGGGGGGACTCCCGGGCTCCGGAGGACGAGGGGGGGAATTTTCCACAGTGAAGTTGCGGTGGATCACGCTCTCTCGAAGGTTGAGAACGCGGAGAATGGGGATTATGAGAAGGAAGAGGTGGCGGGGAGGGGGGGAGACGGTGATGATGATGATGATGATGATGATGATGATGATGATGATGATGATGATGGTGATGATGATGATGATGATGATGATGATGATGATGATGATGATGATGGTGGTGATGATGATGATGACGATTATGGTTGAGGTGGTGGTGGTGGTGATGATGATGACGATGATGATGCTGATGATGATGATGATGACGATGACGATGATGATACTGATGATGCTGATGATCACGATGATAATGATCATGGTGATGATGATGCTGATGACGATGATGATGATGATGATGATGATAGTGATAATGCTGATGCTCATGATGACGATGACGATGCTGATGATGATGACGATGATAAGGATGAGGATGAGGGTGAGGGTGCGGGTGATGATGATGCTGATGATGCTGATGATCATGATGATTTTGGTGGTGGTGATGATGATGATGATGATGATGATGATGATGATGGTGGCAGTGACGACTATGAAGCCGGCCAGGGTACTAGGCACGGGGATTACGACGATCTGGATGACGACACTGACGACGACGACGCTGCTGACGATGCTGATGATGACGACGACGATGCTGATGATGATGATGATGACGATGATGATAATGATGACGCTGATGATGACGACGATAATGATGATGGTGATGATGATGATGATGATGATGACGATGATGATGATGAGGAGGATGATGATGATGATGCTGATGATGATGATAGTGATGATGCTGATGCTGGTGATGACGATGCTGATGATGATGACGATGATAAGGATGAGGATGAGGGTGAGGGTGCGGGTGATGATGATGCTGATGATGCTGATGATCATGATGATTTTGGTGGTGATGATGATGATGATGATGATGATGATGATGATGATGATGATGATGATGGTGGTGGCAGTGACGACTATGAAGACGGCCAGGGTACTAGGCACGGGGATTACGACGATCTGGATGACGACACTGATGACGACGACGCTGCTGACGATGCTGATGATGACGACGACGATGCTGATGATGATGATGATGATGATGATGATGATGATGATGATGACAACGATAATAGGGATGAAGATGAGTGTGAGGGTGCGGGTGATGATGATGATGCTGATGATCATGACGATTTTGATGGTGGTGATGATGATGATGATGATGACCAGGGTATTAAGCATGGGGCTCTGATTGTTTGATGATGATACTGATGATGATGCTGATGCTGCTAACGCTGATGCTGATGACGATCCTGATGATGACGAAGGTAGTGATGGTGATGATGGTGGAGATGGTGATGATGCTTCTTCTATTCTCTGTGAGCAAGCTCCTGCTGTCTCCGTAGCTTCTCTGCCCAAGTGCCCCCCCGTCGGCCGCGCGTGCGGACGCCTTATGCAGGCGGTCGCACAAGCGGCTCTCGGGGGCGCTGGGGAGATCTTCTTCAGGGGGCTGCGGGCCGCGCTCTACGAGCGGCTCGTGTCTGCCCCCCTCTCTGTGCTTCAGGACCAAGGGCCTCCTGCGCCTGCCTGGTCCATCCAGCAGGCGGACTCGTCCGAGGGTGAGGGGGCTTACTGCCCCCTCCCTTCGGCGGGTTCCGCCTGCCCCACCGTCTGCCTCGGGCTGGCGGTGGATCTGAGCGGCGGGGTCTCTCCCTGGCTGCTCAGCACGGTCGTCGCCCTCCTTTGGGTGACGGCCGCGTGCAGCGCCTGCGCAGGCTGCTGCTTCGGGCTGCTGGGCCCGTACGTGTGGCGGAGGCTCAGGGCCTCCGCCTGGCCGCGCGGTGCGGTTCCTGCTTCCCCTGAGCAGGACCGCCGTGCGGCGCGAGCGCTGGCTTACGGGGTTCCGCCTCGGCCTCGAGCGCTCGAGCGGGCAGGCGCCCAGCATTCGGGCGGCAGTTCCCACGACAGCGCCCATTGATGGCTGAGCTGCCACCAGTTGGCGGAGGGCCTCTATGGCCCGAGCTCTACCCATTCGCGGCTCCCACGGCTCGCGATTACGCACGATGGCGCCTAGACGACGGCGACACCAGCTGGGCAGCTATCCCCCTCGCGTCTCGAGAAGGGGGCATCCTTCTGGCCCTGCCTGGCGCCTTTCGCTCTACGGCGGAGCTCGTGGCTGCCGAGGCGGATGGCTTTGCAGGAACGATAGGCCCTTTCCAGCTAGTGGACGTCCAGCTCCAGGGGGCCGCTTCACGGCCGCTCGCCACTACTGCATCCGTCCTCGTCGTAGACATCGAGGTTGCAGAGCTCGAGCTCGAGTCGCTTTACCCTCTAGAGGTCGGGGAGGACGCAGTCATCGTTCCCTTCGCCGAGGTGCGGGGCCGCGTCTATTGGCCACATCCTTCGGGGGTTCGGGTGCTTCGCGAGGGCTACGCACGCTTGCACGGCGCCCCGCCTACTGCAGGAGAAGAGCCGCTCCCAGGGGCCGATCGGGCTACTCCCTATCACTCTGCCGACGAGATGGAGGAACCCGAGGGGTTCGCGGCCGACGGGGAAGCCGACCGCACGGCCCCAAGTGCGCGATCTCCCGCGGACGCTGGAGCGCCGCGCGGCCCGCCCGCGAAGCGCGCGGGCACCGCCGCGCCGCCGCGGGTTGCGGGTCCCGCTCCGATCGCTCCTGGTGCCCCTGCGGCGTCTCTGGACGACGGGGCTCCTATGACCCGTGCCGAAGTAGCTGCCGAAATGCGCGCCTTGCTTGCAGCCCACGCGGCCTCCACGATGGTCGGCAGACCCGAGCCGCTGGGCCCCGCGCCGGCTGCCCGGAGCGATCGGCCCGAGGTGCCTCAGCTTTTCAGCGACGAAGCGGTGCGCCTCGGGCTGGATCCTGCGGGGATCGAGGCCGTCCTGTCTCACGCGCCCGTGGCCCCACAGCGGGTCTCCGCGCGTCCCAAGGGTCCGACCTCCGCGCTGGTCTCGGCGTGGGAAAAGGCGCGCTCTCTTGCTGTCCCTCGGGCCCCTTCGTCCGGTTTCGGAGCGATGGGCCCCCCGCCGCCACCTGGGCTAGCCCATCCCGCTGCGGCCGACGGCTTTGCCGAGGCGGGCGGCGCCGACGGGTCAGAGCCGCCCCATGCGGCCAATCCGACGGACTTCAGCCTCATGCTACAGTGCCTGCACCAGTCCCTCCTATTGCAGCAGGGGCGGGGCCATCGCCCAACCGTCCATCCGCTTCTGGGGACCCTGAGCGACTCAGCTCAAATTCCGCCCACGAGCTCGGGCGACCCCGCGCCCGCATCGGCCCAGATGGGGGGCATTGCTCGGAGGCGCGAGTGGCAGCAAGCGCTGCTACAGCACGGCCC